ATTGTTCTGCAACCTCACCAACGTATTTTGGTGTTTTTGTTTCGTTTTGTTTCATTTTAGCCATTCTGGTGGGTGTGTAATGATTCTATATTTTAATTTTCTTTTCACCGATGACTAATGAGCTTGGATACCATTTCATATGTTTACTGGCCATTCTTTTGTGAAGTGAGAATTCAAGTCTTTTGCCCATTTTTTCTGTTGAGTTGTCTGTCTTTTTCTAAATGATGTGTAAAAGTTCTTTCTGTATTCGGATATGAGTTCTTTATTGAATACAGTGTATATGTATCACATGTATCCTCTTCCACTCTGTGACTCATCTTTTCACCCTCTTAATGGTAAACAAGTTCTTAATATTAATGTAGTCCAATTATCACTGTGGTTAGTGCTTTTGGGTCTTATTTAAGATACCTTTGCCTGCCCTCCAGTCATGAAGATATTTTCTATGTTATCTTCTAGAAACATTTTTGTTTTCCCTGTCCCATTTAGAGCTATAATCCATTTTAATTGGTTTTTATGTATAGTGAGTGAATAAGGATACCAAAAATGATATCTAGTTGACCCAGCACTGTTAATTGAAAAGATTATTCATTTCCCACTGTTCTTCAGTGTCACCTTTGAATAAATCAAGTATCCATACGTGTGCGGGTCTGTTTCTAAACTCTGTTCTATTGGTCTATTTGTCTTTCTATGGATACTACACAGTCTTAATTATTGTAGGTTTATAATAAGTCTTGATATCTGGTATAATAAATTCTCCAACTTTGTTTTTTCTTCAAGTTTCTTTTGGCTATTTTTGGTTCGTTGTATTTTCATAAATTTTAGAATCAGCTTGTTAATTTATCTTAAAAAATCTTTAGATCTTTCTGCCAGGGATTACATTGAATCTGAAGAAAAATTTGAAAGCTATTTTCTCACTGGACATAGAATTCTATGTTGTCAGGTGTTTTCTTTCAGCATTTTGAAGATCTCATTTCATTTCTTACGTTATCTACTATTTCTGTTGGGAAGTCAGCTATAAGTCTTATTAAAGCTCTTTTAAAAGTAATATATATATCCTGCTTGGTGTTCATAGTGCTTATTGAATTTGTGGCTTGATTATTTTCATCAGTTTTGAAAAATTTTCAGCCATTATCTTTTTGAATATTTTTTTGCCTCATTTTTTCTCTCATAATTCTGGGTCTCTAATTACATGTATAAAGAAAACAGAAATCCTCACAGCTGAACCAATGAGCAACATCATGATAAATGGAGAAAAGATTGAAGTTGTAAAGGATTTCATTTTACTTGGATCCACAATCAACATCCATGGAAGCAACAGTCAAGAAATCAAGTGATGCATAGCACTGGGCAAATCTACTGCAAAAGACCTCTTTAAAATGTTAAAAAGCAAAGATGTCACTTTGAAGACTAAGGTGTGCCTGACCCAAGCCATTGTATTTTCAATTGCTTCATAATGCATGCAAAAGCTGGACAATGAAGAAGACCAAAGAAGAATTGGTGCAATTGAATTATGAAATTATGGTGTTGGCGAAGAATATTGAATATACCATGAAAATATTGAATATACCAGAAAAATGAACAAATCTGTCTTGGAAGAAGCACAGCCAGAATGCTTTTTAGAGTCAAGGATGGCGAGACTTTATCTCACGTACTTTGGACATGTTATTAGGAGGGACCAGTCCCTAGCGAAGGACATCATACTTGGTAATATAGAGGGTCAGCAAAAGAGAAGACCCTCAATGAGATGAATTGACACAGTGGCTGCAACAGTGGACTCAAACATAGCAACGATTGTGAGGATGGTGCGGGACTGAGCAGTATTTTGTTCTGTTGTACGTAAGGTTGCTATGAGTAGGATCCCACTGGATGGCACCTAACAGCAACAATTACATGTATATTAGTTTTTTTTCACTATGTTACGTATATATTTTATACCCTATTCTGCATTTTCTACCCCTTTTTCTCTCATATTCAATCTGAATATTTTCTTTTGTCACCAATCTTCTTCACCAATCTTCTTCAGCTGTGTCTAATATGCTGTTAAATACATCTCTTGAGTTCTTAGTGTCAGTTATTCTATTTTCCAGCTTCAGGATTTCATCTGATTTTTAATAATCATTTTGTCTTCTTATCTAATTTCTTGAACATATTAACCATGATTGTTTCAATCACTATGTTTGGTAATTCCAATATCTGAATCTCCTATGGATCTGTTTCTATTGTCTATTTTTTCCTCTTAGGTTTTGGTCATTTGGTTTCGTCTCAGGAGACAAAATAATATTTTTATTGAATACTAGACATTGTGTAAGAAAATTGTAAAGATAATCTAAGGCTCTGAATGGTCTTATCTTCCTCTAGAAAGGATTTTATTTTGCTGTTGGCAGATAACATCAGGACATGTCATCTTAATTCAGTCAGAAGTTAGTCTAATTCAAGTTTACATTTTGTGAGTCCTGTTCTACTTCTAGCTTACCTTTACATGTAGGGTATTAAATTTCTGGGGTCCAACTCAAGGCATAAGATGTTTGTTTACTAGGACTCCTTGCTCCTTGGTGTGGACTCTGAACTCTGGTTTTTGTCCCCTAACCCCATAAGACTTCTGGAAATCCCACTCAATTTCTCAGCCTCTCAGCTATCACCTGTTGCCATCGAGTCAATTCTGACTCATAATGACCCTATAGGACAGAGTAGAACTCCCCCATAGGGTTTCCGAGGAGAGGCTGGTGGATTCGGACTGCTGACCTTTTGGTTAGCAGCCAAGCTCTTAACTACTACACCATCAGGGCTCCTCAGCTATCACAATAGAGCTGAATTTCTCTGGCTCACCTCCCTGTACTTTTTCTCTCTGGGGTTTTAGCCCCTCAAGTTCTTGCTGTCTTGGAAGATTGCTGATGATTTCAAACAGATTTTTAAAAAAATATTTTGTCAAGCATATCTAGTTCTCAACAGGGGGGTTGGTCGGCAACAAGCTATTCTGCCTTTATTAGAAGTAGAAAAACCTGATTTTGTTTATTGTCAGCTTTTGATCATGCCTAGTTAGTTATAAGATCCCTGGTTTGAGGACTGATGTGCATTTGCTTCTCCATGCTTGGGGGATCTATCAGTACAGGACCATTAATCACTTAATATGGGATTTTCTGGATCATGCAGGTGATATGATTTTGAACCCCATGTATAAGTGGTGACAAATTCTCAGGGGAGACTTCTTTCTTTTTTTCTTTTTGCCCAGAGTTAAAGCCAAAATGGACAGGTTCTCTTGTCATCTTCCTTTGTGGGCTGAATCTATGGATTTCTTTCAGTCGGTTGGCCAGGTAGCTGTCTTCCAAATTTCTTGGCATAGATGAGTGAGCACTTCCAGCGCTGCATCTGTTTGTTGAAACATCTCAATTGATATTCCGTCATTTCCTGGAAGCTTGTTTTCCACCAGTGCGTTCAGTGCAGCTTGGACTTCTTTCCTCAGTACCATCAGTTCTTGATCATATGCTACCTCTTGAAATGGTTGAACGTCGACCAATTCTTTTTGGTATAATGACTGTGTATTCCTTCCATCTTCTTTTGATGCTTCCTGTGTCGTTCAGTATTTTTCCCATAGAATCCTTCACTACTGCAACTTGAGGCTTGAATTTTTTTCTTCAGTTCTTTCAGCTTGAGAAAATGCCCAGCGTGTTCTTCCTTTTTGGTTTTCTATCTTCAGCATGTAGCCCTTTGAGGATTTTGGCTTTGTTATGAGTTTCCATTCCAATTCCTAACCTTATGTGGGCCCACGACCCTGTCTCCTGTCCCCTAAGGCTTTGAGTAACTAGGGATAGGTTTCAACTCCTGCATCCTTCCCTGGATTTATGTTCCTGCCTTTTTGTTGATTTCTGAAGATTTTTCTGATATTCTACGAGCTATGCGTTAAAAGTATTTTTTGCTGCTGGTATTTTTTAAAAATTTTTTTTACTGTACTTCAGGTGAAGGCTTACAGAACAAATAGTTTCTCATGAAACAGAAGTACACATGTTGTTTTATGACATTGGTTAACAACCCCACAACATATCAACCCTCTAACTTCTCAACCTCTTTTTGTGTTTAAAGGTATTTTTAAAAAATATTTTATCCAGCCTCTTTAGGTATTTTGTATTGCAAGAGTTTTTAGGGTATCTAGTTTACTATATTGCTGGAAATAGAAGATATCCATTTCTTCTACTATGTGGTTTCTAGAACATCCCAGTGGCTCTTCCTTTGGTATCTCCATTTAGTTAATGTCTGTTTTCCCTGTGAAGGCCAGCCCCATTGCAGTTCTTGAGATATGACCTGACCAGCCCAGAGTACAAGGTGATCATTATTTCCCTTATTCTGTGTGCATTGTGTTAACTCATGCAGCCTAGGAATACATCAGAGTATTGAACATTGGGTCACTCTTAATTTACTCAGAGTTTGTGCTTAACTAAACATATCTTTTCTATAGATGTTTTTACTTTTTTGAAATGTAAGTATAGGACTATTTTTTAATGTTTTGTCTATTTGTCCCTAATGCCTAGCACAGCGTAGGCTCTTAGTAAATGAATTAATGACATTTCTTCCTTTAAAACTTTTCCATATTAAATCTGACTTACTGTTTCAACTTAAGATAATTTTGAATCCTGATCCTGTTATTCAGTATATTAACTTATTGTCATTGTATCATCTGTAAATTAGATATCTTCATTCAAAATAGCTAAGGGCAGAAGCCTGAAACACTAAAGACTTCTTTGTAGATAGATATTAGTTATTTAATTAAAGTTTTTTGTTTTTTGATCAACCATGAATTGTACCTAAATATACTATTTTCCCGCTCATTATTTCTCAGTTGTCCAACAGGTTAAAATTAGAAGCATTGTCAGGTACTCTGCAGTGGAGGAATAGGCAAAGGCAGCACTCCACAAAACCTCCAAGTCCAGGGGCCTAAAACAGCCCAGGCCTAAGGAGGAGGAGCCTGTAGGGAGCTCTAATCCTTTCCCTTTAACACCCCTGGGCAGGTGTTGGTAGATGCGCCCTGTACCACAGACCGCCACTCCCTTCACGAGGAGGAGAACAACATCTTTCAACGGTCAAGGAAGAAGGAGCGTCAGACGTTGCCTCTGCTGCAGGTGCAGCTTCTTGCGTGAGTGATAGATTTACAAAAACTCAGAACTTTGTGCCAGAGTGCTCTAGGGGTCTGGTCACTGAGGGGCTGGGGAACTGGAAGCTGCTGACAAGACCATCACCCACAGGGGAGTCTTCTGGCTAGGCATCTGCCTGAAGGAGACAGACATTGTGGGATGTTTCTTCTCCGGAATTTAAAAATCCTATCTGGTAGGGTATACATAGCAGGGTGGGCTACAGGAGTTCACTTGTACTGTCTTACCCTATGCTACTCTCAGTACCAGTGAGCAGCACATGTTTGAAAAATAGCTACTGAAGTCGAGGCTCTGCAGGGCTGGGGTAAGTGCTCAGTCCGCAGCCAGTATCTGGGTTTGGTCCATAACTGGAATCAGAGCCCTGGGAATAGTTTCAAGAAGGCGTCCTGGAGGAGAGCCTTTGGAGTAATGTTGGGTTGTTCTCTGTCTTGAGAATGACTTTTGAGGGAGTGTCATTGTGAAAGAGACTTCAGATGCTGTCTGACTTAGCTACCTACCCATGGTAAACGCCCATCTCCATGCATCCAGCTCTCTCTGTTGCCTTTCCACTGCTGGGAAGCTCACTAGTCACTGCCTCTCTCTCTCTCTGGTTTCAGGGCTGGACTCCTTGCCACCAAACCAGGAGGCTACGCTGTCTATTCTACCTGTTCACTCTCACACTTACAGAATGAATATGTGGTGCAAGGCACCATCGAACTCCTGGCCAATCAATATAGCATTGAAGTACAGGTTGAAGACCTAACTCACTTCCGAAAGCTCTTCATGGGCACATTCTTTTTTTTCCCATCCTGCCAGGTGGGGGAGCTGGTAATCCCAAACCTCATGGCCAATTTTGGGCCTATGTACTTTTGCAAATTGCGTAGGCTGACATAGCATCACCTTGTCCCTAAGGCACTGGTGTAGGAAAACAAAGGGTATACTCTGTTGGAGGGTACCGGAAACTGAAACCAGTGGCAGAGATGTACTCTGGGTCCTGTCTGTGTCCTGTTCAAATTTTTCTGCAGACAGTTTTCAGCAGAGGAAGTAGGAGTTTTTCTGTCCTGCTTTCTAGTTATGGACCATCAGCAGGTTTCTAACCCATTTATGCCCTACTCCTTACCTGTCTCCACGCCTTTGCTAAAGGTTCCTGCCCCATTGGGGGCTTAGGAGGAGGAGCCAATGAGCCTGGCCACAAATGAAGCTGGAAACTTGGGAAGAAGCATTTCGTCAGTAAAATTGTTGAAGCTCTATAGACCTGGTACTATAGTTGGAGGCCTCATGTCAATCCAAGTACTGTTGGTTCCATTTGTACCAGCAGCTGCTGCTTAGCACAAGCTCCTAGGATTAGCTGCCCAAATCCCAGAACCTCAGGCTCGTTACAGGCCTCTGGTTACAGAGCCTCCCTCACACTTGGTGTATTCCACCTGACCAGCCTTGAGCAGTCTATAGGCCCAAACAAGCCTACCTAGTTTCTCCATATGGCCCATGATCTAATTTAAGGAACAAGTAACTAAAAATGTTAAGCCCGTGTATAATAATCTACTTACTTACTCACACTGAGAAAGCTCCGCTGAGCTGAATAATTCCACCAGTTCTTCCTGCTGTCACCACCACTGCTGCCAAATGTGACTGAGAAAGCTGCTCCTGCCGCAGGGCTGCCGTACTCTTTTGTGTGTTTCCTCCTTTGTTCATTCATCTGGCAAGTATTCCTTAGCTCCTGCTGTTTGACAAGTAGCTAGAATACTGCTGGAGATGCAGCAATTGAGATTGCAGGAGATAATCAGGCCTCCTCATTCTTCGGAACAGCAGATTGCATCCTCCTGCTTTCTGAACACCTTGGAATCTCCAAATGTCTTTGGTTTTGTTTTGTTATATATTTACATATACATATATATATGGTTTTTTTTTTTTTTGGTTCCTGGTCTGTGACTGAACTCTAGTGCCAGTACTTTGGCCACCCTCAAATCCTTCAGAACTTTTACCTCCGCGTCATGGGGCCTCACCTCACACAGTGTGTGTTCAGGGACAACATTACATCATTTACTGACTGTATGCTAGTTATGTTGTTTTTGTAATTTTAGCCAAAAAAAGGTAATCCTTTAGTGGCAGGGATATTAAAAAATACTGTGGTCACTTGCGGATACTGCTTTTTTATTTTAAAAAAATCTTTTGTTTTTAAACTGGCGCTTGTGCATAATTTTAGAATACTTGATGTTTTCCTGGCTCTTTCTATTTCTCTTATCCCTCTTCTTCCTCTTTCTGCTACTCCCTTTGTCCTTTATGCCTTTCCTGCTAATTTTGTTTGGGTATTAGAGGTGTCAGCTGAGAAGTACTTTAGATGAGGTTAAGCTTTCTCCTTTCTTGGGATTTGCATTTTAACTAAGGGCCCTGGAAGACCTTCCAGACTTGAGGTCAAGTGAAGCCAGGAGCCCCAGGGAGCGTGGTTATTGCTCTGAATAGGACCCTAACCAGCCTGCATGTATGGCAGGTGATCCCTGTGCTGGGTATTTGCTGAGACTGGGAGGCCTGAGATACCTGTGCTTTTGCCCTTGGCTTCCTAGGTGTCCAGCCTGTGCTAGTAGAATGCTAAGCAGTGGTAATTCAAGAGGAGAGAGTCTCCTGCCCCTGGACTCTCAGTCTAACTGGGGATAGACAAACCCAGATTAGAAAATCAGGGAACTACTTTGGAAAACTCTTTGAATCATCTCCTGTAATTGAACATTCACCTACCCAACAACCCAGTCATTCTAACACTAGGGATAAATCCAAGAGAAACTCATACATGTACAAGAATGTTTGTAGTAGCCCTGTTCACAAGAGCAAAAACCTGGAAACAATCCAAATGCCCATCAGCAAGAGAGTGGATGAATAAACTGGAGTATTCCCACAATGAAATATTATACAGCTATCAAAACAAATGAACTATACTGATATATAACAGTATGGATGAATCTTAGCAATAAAACATTAAGTGAAAAAAGTAAGTCCCAAAAGATTAAATGTAGCATGATGCCTGTTATGGATCAAATTGTCCCCTAAAAATATGTGGTGTAAATCCTAACCCCTATACCTATGGATGTAATCCCACTTGGGAATAGAGTTTTCTTCATTGTGTTAATGAGACCATATCAGTATAGGGTGTATTTTAAACAAATCATTTTTGAGATATAGCAAGAGCAGATTAGGCACAGAAGCAAAGAAGCCCCAAGGCGGAAGGTAGATGACATGTCCAACACATGAAGATCACCAAGGCACGGAAGCTAAAAAGAGACAAGGACTTTGCTTCAGAGCCGACAAAAAGAGAAAGCCTTCCCCTAGAACCAGTGCCCTGAATTTGGACTTCTAGCCTCGTAACTGAGAAAATAAATTTGTTTGTTAAAGCCACCTACTTGTGGTGTTTCTATTATAGCAGCACTAAGAAACTAAGACAATGCCCTTTCTTAAAGTTTTTTTTCCTCTTTTTATTCATTATTATTTACATATACAGCCTCTCCTCATTTATCAACATGGTTAGGTTCCAAAGACCAGGCCATTATGTGAAAATTGGCATTATGCAAAAATGGAGGATGACTACATCGTTACACAGCTGCCAGATTACATCATTACATAACTGCCAAACCATTGCGATCATAGCCCAGCCAAGTTGACACATAACCTTAACCACCAGCCAGCATTACTGTCGCCTCACACCTTGACATTCATTACTGCCAGATGTGTGTCGTTAATGAGCAAAATAGTTCGATAGTAGATTTTTATTATTGTCGTAAATGTGAAATGTTGGATAACGAGATAGTCGATAAGTGAGGAGAAGGTGTAATAAAATTCACCAATTTTGAGTGTACAGTTTGATGAATTTTGATAATTATAATAGTATAACCACGATCACCTTTAAGATGTAGAATAATTCTATAATTCTGTCGCCATGTGAGGAAACCCAGGTTAGTCTACTGGAGACATGTGAAGGATGCCATCTTAAATCTTCTAACTTCAGTTGAATAGTCAATGACCCAAGCTGCATAAGCGACCCCAGGCAAGACCAGCCCAAATTGCTGACCCCAGAATCATGAGCAAATAAATTGGCTATTGTTTTAAGCCACTATGTTTTGGGAGTGGTTTGTTGCACAGCAGTAAATGACTGACAAATGTTAAAAACCCAAATATGACACATTCACCTGCCTGCAATCCTTAGTTCTCTGCATTGTCTGCAGGATCAAGTCCAGATTCTTCCCTGACTCCTGACTGTTGGTCCTGTTTCATCTTCTGCCATCCAGCACTGTTCCCTTTTCTCACAGATTCTTTATCCATCCCAAGGATAGCCTGCACCCCTGATACCTCTGTTTTCTTCTCTGTCTAAATGCTGTTTTTCCTTTACTCCTCTTGCTAGCCCAAATTTCTACCCTCTGTAGGAAGCCTTCTCTGATCCCTCTAAAGCAGATTGAGTTGTTCCCTCTTCTGTGCTTCCCCAGCCCTCTGTATATACTGTGCATATAGCTCTTTCCATGTTTGCTTTCTCTTCCCACCCCCACGCCCAGACTGGTAATTATTCAGGGCAGGAATTATTCAGGGCATCCCTAACCCCCAGCACTTTGGTACATATTAGGTAGTCGACACATATTTGAGTGCTTTTCATGTGCCAGGCCCAATCCTAGATGCTAGTGAAAGTGATAAGCAGAACAGATAAGGCCCTTGTTCTCACGGGACATACAATCTGGTGGGAAAGATAGACAAATAATTATAAATAAAAGTGAGCAGAGTACTGCAGAGGAGAAGTGTAAAGTGCATATGTCTGGGGGACCTAGCCTAGCTTGGAGGAAGAGCTATTTAAACAAACCTGAGGGGGAGTTAGATTAGTGAAGCTGAGAGGTGTGGTGGTGAGGGGTTGTGCTCTAACAGAGGGAACAGGTCATGCGAAGCCCCCGAGGCATGTAAGAGCACAGTGTATTCCAGGACCTGGTAGAGATGAATGAAGGCATGGTTGTGAGAAGCAGGTAGGAGCCAAGTGCAGATGGCCTTGCAGGCCATGTGAAGAAGTGGGTTTTTATCCCAAGAGTAATGGCAAACCATTACTTTTAAAATTGCAGAAATTTTAAGTGTGAAAATGATCTAATCAGGTTTCCATGGGCATCCCACTGGGAATATAATTATCGGTATTTGCTGACTGAGGAAATGAAATAACTGGCTCAACAGAAAATGCATCTGAAGATCGGTGCTCTTCTTAGACTTAGTCAGCCTTTATCTCTCTGAGTGAAGGCAAACTGCTGAACTCCAAGCTGCTTAGACCACATTTTGGGCGACACATTAAGAGTTACATTGGCAAACAGCTGGTGTAGCCTGAGGAGAGTGACCAGGATGGAGAACTGAAAGCCCCATCCTAGGAAGAAGAATTGGGGAGATTGGGAGTATTATGCCAGAGAAGGGAAAACACGGGGAACAGAGAGGCTGTCTCCAAATATTTAAAGGACTGTCCTGAGGTGGGGGGCCAGGCGGGGGAGCTGATGTGTTTTGAGTCTCTCCAGGAGCAGAGCTGAGGCCAGCAGAAGGAAGTTGTGAGCCAGATTGCAGATCATCATAAAAAACCTTTCAATTATTGTTTTCAAAACTATGGATCACAACTGTGATTCATCAGTGGTCATGAAATCAACCTTGTGGGTATAGTAGGTATTACGATTTTTCACAAATTCCTAGTTACTACTCCTCTGCAGTGGGCATGACCGTGTGGCTTGCTTTAGGGAATGAAATGTTAGTGAGAGCCATGCCTGTCATTTCCCCATGAGAGCTTTAAAAGTTATTGTCAGATTTGTCATGTCATTCCTGCCACAGTGATCATGGGAACTTGTTGAGATAGAGCCTACATCACCCTGAGTGTCCAAGTGACTATGATAAACTGAGCGCTCTAGGCATCTGCATTAGACGTGAGAGTGAAAAATAACTTAAAAAATTACGATGAAAATATACACAAGAAAACATACACCAATTCAACAATTCCTGCATGTATAATTCAGTGAGTAAAAAATAACTTGTTGGGTAAACTATGTTACATACACACAATGGAGTATTATGCAATGATAAAGAACAATGATGAATCTGTGAAGCATCTCGTAACATGGATGAAACTGGAGGACATTATCCTGAGTGAAATAAGTCAATCACGAAAGGACAAATATTGTATGAAACCTCTACTGTAAAAACTCATGAAAAAGTTTACACACAAAAAGAAACAATCTTTGTTGGTTACGAGGAATGGGAGGGGTGGGGGGGAATACTAAATAGACAATAGATAAGTGGTAACTTTGGTGGAGGGTGAGACAGTACACAATACTGGGGAAGCCAGCACAACTTGTACAAGGAAAGGTCATGGAAGCTCCATAGACACATCCAAACTCCCTGAGGGACT